GGAGGAGGAGGAGGAGGAGGAGGAGGAGGAACTACACGAAGAAGTAGACGAGACCACAAAAGTGCGGCTGGTCCACCGCACTACCTATGACTACCTCCAACGGACATGTGAACGATGGCTTCCGGAAAGGGAGAAGCAAATCGCAACAGCTTGCATGGCCTATCTGTCTCTGCGCTACTTCCGTAGCGGCTGGTGTTCTTGTGATGATGATGTGAGGAGACGGCTTCAAACCTATCCGCTCTACTGCTACGCGGCGCTGCGATGGGGATACCATGCGCGAGTGGCTTTCTCCAAGTTCCCAGACATGGTGAACATGGATTTCGGATTATTATCTTCCAAGCCACACATCGAATCCGCCTTCCAGGTCTTCTTCATGGCCAAGCACCAACGCAGATGTGATGACTTTCCACGTTTTATGTCTGGGATTCATCTGGCAGCGTACTTCGGGATCACCAACCTCGTCTACGCATTCATGCCCTCAAATGGTCGACGTGGAAGGGCGGACGTTTCGATCAACGTTAGAGATGGTCATGGCTGCACTGCACTCGCCTGGGCAGCGCACGAAGGACACGAAGAAGCGGCACAGGCCCTCATTGATGCTGCAGACGTTGATCTCGACGCTCGAGATGGCGGAGGTCGGACTCCAGTATTGCGGGCCACCCAACGCAACCATTTCACCATCGTCGAGAGACTGCTGAGTGGCGGCGCTAACCCAAACTTCAGGGATTTCTCTGGGGCATCGCCCTTATCGTATGCGGCGAAGGAGGGATATACCACCATAGCAGATTTGCTCGTGAGACACGGCGCCGATGTAAACGCAGCGACGACCCGGTTTGGGGCCAATCTGGACACGCCCTTGTCGCTCGCAGCGATGTATGGTCATGACGAGATTGCCCAGCTGCTTCTGGTCCAGCCAGGTATCCAACCAAGCGCCAAGGTCGAGAGACGGAGCATGTTTGAAGAGTGCACCTCGCTGGAGCTCGCTGTGAGAGGCAAGCACCACGGGGTGGTGGACTTGTTTCTGTCCCACGCCGACGTCTCCGGCGAGCATGAAGCGCTGCTGCGCACGGCAGCGGAGCAAGGCGATGAGCGTGTGGTTCAGCGGCTGCTTGAGATGGACGTCGATGTGAATACCCAATCCGAGCACGGCGATACTCCGCTACACCGCGCTGTGAAGGAGGGACACGATGGCGTGGCGGCACGCTTGCTCTCCCAGGCCGGAGTGCTGCCTAACTTACCGAACGATGACGGGGACACAGCGGCGTTATTGGCAGCACGCTTGGGCCGCGTCCAGGCTCTCCAGCTGATGCTGGCAAAGGGCGCCGACGGAGGAGCCAGAAACAAAAAGGGTCGCACGCCCCTTGCCGATGCAGCAGAGCAGGGCTACCTGTCAGTTGTAGAACTGCTCCTTTCTACCGATGGCGTCGCCGCCGACTCGCAGGACCACAAAGGCCGCACACCACTTTCGCTCGCCGTTTCACCCACGACAGGGGAGCGATTTGATGGTATGGGCCGTCGGGCCGTCGTTCGGTGCCTGCTCAACTCCGGCCGCGTTGATATCAATCCCCGCGATACGCAGGGCCGGACGCCTCTGGCTTTCGCGGCCGATGATACTGACGGCATGCCGATGGTCGAATTGCTCCTGGAGTACGAGGAGTTGGATGTCAACACCATGGATGAGCAAGGGCGGACACCTCTAGCCTGGGCGGTACGAAGGCCGGGTCTCGAAGACACTGCGAGGCTCCTGCTCGAAAGAGGGGCGGATCCCACTCTGGGCGTGTATGAAGAGGGAGAGCCACTTCTTTCCTGTGCTGTCAAGCACAGTGCCTCGGAAATCGTGATAGCCATTCTTTCCTCTGGCGGCGTGGACCCTGGCCAGAGAGATAGCCACGGACACACGCCGCTATGCCGCGCAGCAGAGAGAGGTGAGGTAGAAATCGTGGACAAGTTACTGACGGTAGGAGGGTTGGACGCCAATGCCCATTGCGAGCACGGTCAAACCCCCCTGCACCATGCGGCCTGCTCGTACAAGGCGGATCAAGTTGTTGCTTTCCTGCTCGCAAAGACTAATATTGCTGTCGATACCCAAGATGAGGAAGGGCGAATACCACTCCACCACGCTGTCCTGCACGGGCACGACGCGGTCGTTTCGTTGCTTCTCGGGCCGGAAAACGTGGGCCTCAACTACAAAGACTGGGAAGGGCGCACGCCGCTCTCGCTTGCAGTTAGCTCTGGGCATCTTTCTATCGTGGAGAAGTTGTTGTCGCTCAATGGAGTGATCCCGGACGCTCAGGATAACACGGGGCGCACGCCACTGTCGTGGGCGGTTGGACAAAGATTGCGGCCCTCTGTCGAGGTGGCGAAGAGGCTGCTCCGGAGGGATGACGTGAACCCTAACGCCGAGGATGAGAAGGGCTGGACGCCGCTGTCGTGGGCTGGACAAGGCGAGGGCGTGTCGAGTTTAATTGAGGTCCTCCTAAAGGAGGGGCAAGGCCGTGTCGATATCGATCATGAAGATCGAGAGGGCAATACGCCGCTTTCATTGGCCCTGAAGAAGGGGAATGAGATGGCTGCTCGTCAGCTACGGGCGGCCGGTGCGAGGTTGCCCGAAAGTATAGGAGAGAGTGTCCAGAGAGGCTGTCATGTCTTGACGCAAGGCGTCTCCGTCGACCGAGAGGACGAAGAGCAGCGGCAGAAAACGGACACATCAAACGCGAAAGGCCGCCGACACGCGTTTGAGGATACTTCTAACGAGGTCAATCACCGGGGAACTACCAAATCTAAGCCTTACTATGAGAGCTTGGTGGAGACAAATTGGTTTGACGACAATGCTGACAGTGGCAGGAACAGTGACAGCAACTGGATCGGCACAGATACCGCGAATCATGCGAGTTTCTGGAAGCTTGATGCAATACTATTGAATTGGAGCGATATCGAGTTAGGGCTTCAAGCAGAGGAGCATCACGTTGAAGATGAAGGGCCACTTTGCCAACAATGCAAAACCATCGACCTCAATGCCCTATTCTCACGGCAGCCACGTCGTGGCTTCGATGTTATAGCCAATTGGGGCGTGATCGACAAAAGCTGGAAGTTGAGGCGCTGCGCCATGTGTCGGTTGATAGCAGCAATTTGCCCTAAAAATGGCATTCACTACCAGCTGTGCGCTTATTCGACCACTGCTACATGGATGAAGGGGGGCAATCGGGCGGCCTGGCGCCACTTCCCGTCTCACTGGGTCGACACAATTGTCCTCGGCCTAGAGCCTGGGAGCTGGTCTTTCGAAGGCGCCTACCAGTCAAGAATACAATCCGACCCATCAAAAATCCTGCCCTTTCGTTTCATCGGCCGTGTCGGGTCAAACGACCGCCAACAGCTGCGCTCCCTCACTTTACACCATTCAAAGACACACAGAATTGACTTCAGCAGAGCTCGTAGCTGGATCAACTGCTGCATGGAACACCACGGCAAACGGTGTAACGCAAGCACGCCCCGGCGGATCCCTCACGCTCGCTTCATCGATTGTAAAACGAGGACTGTCGTTGACAACAGCGACGACTCGGCAGCCCTCCGGTTTGTCGCCTTAAGCTACGTCTGGGGCCCCTCGCCCAAGACGAAAGGCCCATCGGATCATGACCGCGTTGAGAATGCAGAGTGTGTCATCGAGGATGCCATCCACGTCACCCTGGAGCTCGGGTATAGGTACCTTTGGGTCGACCGACACTGCATCACCGATGAGAACGAAGACATGCACAAAGAGCAGCTCCTGCATATGAACGCCGTATACGAAAACGCAGAGGTCACCATCGTTGCTGCTGCGGGTCGGGACTCAACCTTTGGGCTGCCAGGGGTGAGTCGTGCTCGGCTCGATCGTCCGTACGCTCGAGTCCAGGGCCACGCGCTGACGGCCGTCCCACGCGAGCCGCGCTACCAGATCAAGGAATCGGTGTGGTGGACGCGTGGATGGACGTTCCAGGAATGCATGCTCTCGCGACGGCGGTTGATGTTTACCGAGCATGAGCTCTCGTACGAGTGCAAGGGCATGGTCGCCCGCGAGGCCGTCGAGCTGCCTATACATGTCCACAGGATCGCAGCCACGCGTTATCCGATCCACGAGCACATGCGAGTTTTCCCCGGCAGGAGACATGATGCAAGGACCCTTGTTGACGGCGAATATATCTGGTCTTGCATCCACGAGTACACCACACGCCGCCTTACGCTCGACGCCGATATCCTCAATGCCTTTCTCGGCATCCTGCAGGTGTTTGCCGAGCGGAAACCGCCCGTGTACCACTTATGCGGCGTTCCGCTCGTGCGTGAGAAATCCTATCACTATAAGGACAACAGTAGGACTCCAACGCTTCTCGAGGCATTTGTACTCGGCCTTTGCTGGCGCTCGGACAGGCCGGCAGCTCGACGCGACGGATTCCCGAGCTGGTCCTGGACGGGCTGGAAGAGCAGGCCTTATGGCCAATTCGACTCTTCGACGGCTTTTGAGCCCGGCCACTCGATTGAGGTTTCCATAGTGCCTCGGGATGAACCGTCTCGGACAGTCTCCTGGGCCGACTTTGAAGCTATGAGTCTGGCAGAGAAGGCTAGTCTCCCCCAGGACTGCCGCCTAAGAATCACAGCCACCACCGTCCAGGTCAGCCTTTTTCTATCTAACAGAGATTGGACCGCCATCCTGTACCGCGGCAATGACGCCTTTCGGGGCCGGCTGAGGTTGAGTAAAGATCCGAAAAAAGATGTTGAGTTCTGTCGCCGGCTGGTCGAAGAGCGCTGGGACGCCATCGTTGTAGGGAATTTAAGGACATACTCATGGATATCCGGATTGGACGAGGAGCGACTTATTCTACTTCTTGTTGACACACTTGATACTGAAACGGTTAACGAGGGCGAGGGTCTTTGGGAGAGGGTGGGAGTTATCACACTGGAAGATAAGACACTGCAGGATGTGGCGCCGGAGGTGTTCGGGAAAGGGACATTCTTGATTGAGTGAGGGAAAGAAGATGAGGCACATGAGCACAGGAATGTTTCTGGAGCCGAGGAGGTACCTCCTAGTGAACTCGATTGAACACCACACCACGCGCTAGGGGGTTAAGCTGCAGGGGATCTTGGTTATTGCTTAATCTGCTCTCTGACCCACAAACCCTCCGACCCGGTTGTGCGGTTTATAGTCCGGCTGGGGTTGGATGGATTATTCCACTTCGTTTACGATTGTGGGATGAGCGTCCAACAAAATATTTCTTTGCACATCCCGTCTGGCAATTGCAATGAGTAGCCATGGAACAACGACTCTCCCAATGAGCTGGATGATGACTATCGGCCTGAGCTTTGCAAGAGGCATGTATCTATCCATCCTGTCTTTGCCTGTGCAGTGCTGGAAGCTTGTGTACCCCGTACTCAACGAGTGCTTGGTCGTGGGAATGGACCGATTCGTCCCCCACACAACCCCCCCCCTCAAACCCGTCCCGCTTTCCCCCCCACCCACACCCCACCCCCCCCCCCCC